TCTTCATTTTGCTGGGTTGTCGTCTAGGTTGTCGTCTTCATTTTGCTAAGTTTATTCTTAAACACATAATATGGGTGTCGACACATAATTCAGGGTGTCAAAACTATACGTTCAACGTCCAACATTCAAGTTTCTTATTCTGTTTCGAATCCTACTTCTATTTCAATTAGGGTTTCTAAAACCTTACAAATACCCATCCAAATTCAGAATTAAAAATACCCATCCAAATTCAGAATTAAAAGAGTTTGGGGGACTGGTGGCAGCCCTTTTTTGGGTATTCTTGAAGATCAAGATAAAGATTTAAGAATTTGTTTATAATTTCTAAATCTTTTCAATTTTTACGATTGTAAAAGAGTATAAGAATTTGTTTATAATTTGTACTTTTTTTTAATTATGTTTCTATTTATTTGGATATTAACGTATTTTATATTTATGTTTTTTACTTAATTTTAAATTTATTTACATTATCTCATATATTTAAAAGTGTTAAAAACCGATCAATCCGACCAAACCACACCGCAAACACCCCTAGTGAGGACCATGTCCAAAAGTAAAAATGAAAGAAATAAAAATAAAAATAAATAAAAAGACAAAAGACAACAAAACAAAGCAAAGGAAGGCAAAACAGAGAATTTCCAAGAAGAAGTATCCAGGGGCATGGAACATGGAGGCAAAAAATTTAGATAAAAGTTAATTCGCAGAAATTTAGATAAAATTTAGATAAAATTTAGATAAAAAATTTAGACAAAAAATCTCGATTACCTGATAACCTGAACTATTTCTGTGAGCTGTCAAAAAATTAATTCGCAGAAAGAGAAATGATGTAGGCAAGAAAAAGACAAAGAAAACTACAAATTTAGATAAAAGTTTCCATATGAAAACATGAGGGCATACAAAAAGCCCTTGGGCATACAAAAAGCCCTTGGGGGCAGGCAATTTATTAAAAACGATGTTACATGAATGATTTGTTGAAGCAACTGTGATTAACCACACTCAGAGGCATATGATATCTAATCCAACTAACCCCTTCACCCTTTTCTGCTCAGCAAGCACATCATCCTTGCTATACCACCTTTTCAATTGCCATGAACACACAATGTGCGAACACTGTAACTAAATGTAAGGATCTCATACCATAATTCTCTCAACCGCAATACCTTATTCATTAAATGTAGTTGGTAAGGTAAATTTTTTAACATGGAAAATCTGCAAGTAAATTTTTGGTACAAAGTTCAAATACAAAGTTCAAATGCCAAAAGAGTAAACAACAACAATACAAACCTAAACCTACACTACAATACATACCTGCTTCAGGTTGATAACTCTATAGATGATTGAGGACTTGAGGTTAAATAAGCAGTGAAGGAAGTAGGTTCTCAGGATTACCTCCAGAATAGTTTTTTTATCCCCTCTCCCATGAATATAAGTTTCAGCTTTGAAGCTTCAAAACTTGCTGGAGGACCCAAAGGCTAGCAGTGCAGCACGTAGCCAAAAAAAGTGCTTCACCATACAGTTCATCAAACTAGCACTGATAATAGCTGAAGTAAAATCAAGTATAATTTGGGACAGGATGCTTGAACATTTACTGTTACTAACTAAACAATAGACAAGTTGTAATCGAAGCAAGGGAGAACATGGCATTTAATGTTCTTTCAACCATTGTCTGAATCTATCTCGGCAAGAAAAAGCCATTACAAAGCACTAGAATGCTTGGACCGGATAAAGAATACTGCCACGGCCATTTCCTGAGGTCCAGTGGTAAACAACACAGACGCTCAGGCCACACAACCTCCTAAGGTTCAACCCTTACAAAAGAAAGACAAAAGACAGGTCTACTATCTGTTCCTCTCTCTCTTTTTTCTCTCTCTCTCTCTCATTGTCATATATATATATACATATATATATATATAATCTACTAAAACTTATGTTCAAGTATTGGTGCTACTAAACAGAGGATTTCGATTTCGAGTTTGAAGGGGGCATAAGAGTAATGCTAGTGCAGAAAGTACCCTCGTCCATTTTTAAAAACCAAATTGGAGTCCAGAAAACCCAAATATCGTACTTGATATTAACACCAGAATCGGTGTTGCACTGCCTCCTGTGCAGATCAGATAATCTAACACTAAAAGTACAGCTTGTTTGCTAACATTTTGATATGGGAAACCAGCAATGAGAATTCTGGTGTAACATGTTTTTGTAGCCTGTCAGGTCTGATATCAAGTCCTAAGGCCTTCATTATACTATTGAGTTGATACTAGTAGACAAAGACAGAGACAGAGTATTCTACTTCAAGGACTACTATTGAGTTGATACTAGTAGACAAAGACAGAGTATACTACTTCAAGGACTATGCCATGAAAAAATGAAAATATGAAAAATATGCTTGCTTGCTAATGACAACACTGCTAGCTTTGCATTGAGTTGAGTTGATATGAGCTGCTTCACCCTATGCGTAAACTCAAGTAGAATAACATGGCTAAAAGATGACAATAAAATATAAAGGAAACAAGGCAGTGACATGGTGTATCCAGGTCATGAATCTATCATGCCATTTTTGCTTCATCTGCATATTACAGAGGTATGATACAACCTCAGAAGAAGAAAATACAATTAATTATCTTTTAGTTATTTAGTACAGAATGCAAGCCAAGACTCAAATTCATTGCAGGCAGGGGAAATATGGGAAACAGATTGCAATACAAGCTGAATTTAAACAAATTCCAATAGGAAGGAAAAGAAAAGTAAAACTCAGTTACTAATATATAGCCAAGTAAATCCACCTGAATTTAATATAGCACTTAATTCACCCACTGTGAATGAGAACCAAGTACATAATCTGCAGAAGTGCAGATTATAACTGAGGGCAGAAAGAAAGCAGTTGGCATTGGTCATATTGACAGTATCAACAACTGAAATATACAAATTTAACACATCAGATAACCAGACACAGCAAAAGATAAAATTAAAAAGCATTTGGAAGAAGAAATAGTTAAAAAGCATTTGAGTGGGAAGAAATAATTATAGTACACTAATCCAAACCAATCTTTTCTTTTATAATTAGATAAAATGCTAACCAAGAAGGAAACACAAGAAGGAAACACATGCTGTAATGAATCTTTCTTTCATTCAACTGGTAGCTGATAACTCAAAGACAACACTATCATAAAATGCAAAAAAGATATCAATCAACCTATTATTCAAATTGCTTGAAAAGCTAAGCTAAGCTAAGAATGAAAACCCAATTTGAAGTATAGCGATCAAGAAACATACAATACAATACAAGGGACAAAAAAATAAAAAGAACAAACGTAAACTCATGCTTTAATTTTACAAAATACCTTGTCAACGAACTGTTAGAATCAGGTTCAGCACCTGCTTTAAGAATGAATTTTTAACTTGCAGAAACAGAAGCACTTAAGATTTCTACTTTTACTAACACTAAATCCGAACAATGAATAAAATGAATAATACAGCCAGCCAATAATCACCTCAGCAGGAGTCAGGAAAAGGTTTTTCCCGTTTCTGTTTTCCAGCCCAGTCTTACATACAGTGTGTAGACACCTCAAATAAAAATCAAAACAATAATAACAATCATAAACTCATGATCAAGTTCCTCATGATCAAATTACTCAAGAAGAACAATCAAAAGCAAGCAAGAGCAAGGAGAGAGAAATTAGAAATGGCAAAGTCCGGTGAAGAAAATGATACAACTTACAATCTGCGGATTCCTGAACTTCTACATGCGGGCTGAATCTTCTAAGGACCATAAACTAGAACCCGAGATACCCCACCCCAACAAATTAAAGTAAAAAAATGAAAAAGAAAAGAAACGAAAACAAGAAGCTGTGTGTAGTCATAGTCACGTAGAGTAAGTAGAGTAATCAAGATCTAACAAAAAGGAAAAAGGGAAAATATCTGATCAAAAAGGAACCAAAAAAGGAAAATAATAATTCAATAAAGATACCCTACAGAATACATGCTGCACATAGCTGCATCTAGCATGTACGACGCCCCAGAATACTTGTAATCTAATCTTCATCTTCAAGAGAAACCAAATAATTTCCCTTTTTTTTGCACTGTAGCAATAGATAGACCTACTTGGGAAAGAATGATGGAATGATGGAAAAGTTAGTTAAATATAAAGCATATTCTATGCTGTTGGAAATCAACTCATAATTCATTATGTTAAAAGGGAAAAAAGAAAAGAGAGGAAAACACACACACATTCTCCCAAACAAATTTAAATTTAAATGTCACGATCTAGGAAACGGTAGATATTATCAATCATTAAGTATGGCTGAACAAACATGAGGGAGGAAAGCGATTGAAAAGAAAGGAAAAAGCAGCGACCAAAACCCCTGAGTTACCCAAAAAGGAAACAAAAAAGAGCACTCAACCAATTAAATTCTGCAACTAATAAAGGTAGAACCATACCTTCTTCCCCCACTTTAAACCTCCTTCAACTTGTATGGTTAACATATATATAAAAAATAGTTATATAATGAGAGAGAAAATCGGGGAAACAATTCCAATGTTTGTTATAAACAATAGAGTTCCAACTCACAAAGTAAATCATCAGTTATCATAATGTATAGTGAAGTGGGGGAGTGTGGGGGAAGAAAAAAGACTGAATTCACTACAAGTAGATAGATGAAAAATTAGAGAAGAAATAATAAGTAAACGTAGCCACCAAGTAAAACAAAGCTACTGTATATTCACTCCTGCATTGCGGTCTTGATGGTTAAATCCTCTCATAGGAGATGGAAAAAGTGAAAGGAGAACCTTACCTTACCTAAACTGGAGAAGAAAATTCGGAAATGCAATTCAATTCATCAGGACTCATTTAAGCAGAGAAGAGATTATTAAAAGTTTACAGTAAGTAAATGCTACTCTTTCATTCAATAAAGAACATATGAAAAAGCCAAAAGGCATGTAGGAGGCATTGGCATATTAATCAATCAATCAATGATTTCTGGTGAAAAACATATTGCTCGCTCAAGTATTGAAATGAAGAATAGTGCGGGAAAAATCTTCAGAAGTCAGAACAAAACGAATTACTTGCACTAATCAGTGTTTGAGTGTTCAGAGTTGTTTGTTTGTGTAGAATAACCCATCTGAATAATCGCATGGTCAAACGACTCAAAGACCAATAATTGGAAGAAGTAGGTGCTTAACCGTTAGTTAGAATCATTAACAGGAGGACACAGTGCCCTGGTCAGAAAAATTATTTAGTGCTAAAACTGATCTATATTTCGGAACTTAGTATCTAAGTAAACAATTAAAATAAAAAACACTAAACATTAACAGTTTAGTTTAGAGAAGAAAGGTGGCCACAGTCAGTCATTTCTCCAAACACGGAAGATAATAGATACATGACGGCCCCCCTCGTTTTAATCTAACAGGAGGGAAAGAAATTAGAAAGAACAGCAGATTAGATAGAAAAACTAAACCCTAAATAAGAATAAATGATATGATTAGACAGATGGGAAGGAAGGTGTGGTCGTTAATCAGATGCATGAGAAGGAGGGAAGTGAAAGGGTAAAAGGTGAAACACCCCCACCCCACATATGCTTGTTAAACTGTGTCGTCAAAGATTCATTGTTCGTATGTACGGTGACAGCATATCAAAATTGAATTCAATTTGTTGTTCATTGTTTAGATTAGAACAGCGCAGACAGCGTCCCTCTAAAAAACACAGAAGGAATAAAATGGAAATAAGGAATGAAATGGTGATCCCTAAATAAACAAAGCGACAAAGCGACAAAGAATTTGTTGTTGTTAAAAGAGCGCAGTGTTATGTATATGTATGAACACTCGCACTCTAAACATCCAAAATTGGCAAGCAAGGATGTGCGCAACGCAACGCAACATATATGGTAAAAGGTAGAACTTCTAAGAAATGAAACGGGGACTTACCTCGTCTTTTGCGAGGGAGGCAGGAAAGATGAAAACCCTCCATCCATCCCATCCCAGTAAGCGTAAACCGTGAATGTGAAATTTGACTCAACCAAGCATCCCTGAAATTTTGATAACCCAAAAAGCAAGCATGATCGAGAAGGAGGAGAGAGAAGTGACTCCTTGTTGAGCGGCGCCGCCTTCCTTTGCTCTTTTGGAGTGGATTTTGCTGTAGATTTTGTGTGATCCCCCGAGGCAGGCAGGCAGGCAGGGGAGGGATTTGACATCCCGCCATTTTCATTGACCCAAGAGTTGAAGTGCAGTGAAAACGGCGTAGTTTCATTTCATTGCTACATTTTTGAAATTGAAATGTCGGCCCGGGCGCCCGTTTGGTTCAGGTTTTGGCCCGTTTGTATTTGGTGGCGTGAGTGAGAAAAAGAGGAGAGAAGATATAGGGAAAAGTTTGAAAGGGCATAACTTTGCGCTGAGTGATCGGATGGGGGTGATTTTTTTTTTGATTCCACGTAACTTTTGGAGAGGAATGCAATGACAAACTGCCTACGGCGGTTTGCCAGGGTTTCATCCTCAAAAAAGCTCGTTTTGACCATAAACAAGGATGCTTTTGGTTTTTTAGTCAATTTTGTTGTCTTTTGACCTAAAATTCCTCTTTTGCCACAAGATCAATTTGAGTTTTGGAGTTTTGGCATCCTTATTCTATCCCTAATTGATAAAGACAGTTAATTGGATGTTGCAAATATTGCTCTCCTACCATTTTTCAGTTTGTTTTCAAGTAATTTCTGTGCGCCTCCTTACATTAGCTGACTTGTGGGCCAAGTGGTAAACCGCTCCCCGTTTTGCATTCCCATTAACGTCAGGGGTTCAAGTCCTACTGCCCCCTCTACTCTATGTTAAAATTCATATGTTTCAGTTTTTCCATTTTTGGTTTTTCATTTGTTTTTTTGCGTACTTTCATTTTTCCGTAAAGGTAAAGCAAGCAATATAGCAAATTAAATTAGAGACTGAAATAATGATGAATGAACGTTAGTTACTAAATGCAAATTAAATTATTGTGAAAGCAAATAATTATTTGAAGAAACACGGGCCTGTTTGGATCAACTCCTAAGAGCTTTAGATTTTAAACATTATTCATATTTCATGAATTTTAAATTTTTCTCTTAAATTTCCCCTCCCTCCCTCTTAAATATTTTTTTAACCTGAAAAAGCTTTTAAACAAATTCAAACTTTTCATAAACTCTTTTTTTACTCACTTTTTTATATCTCTAAAAGCAAAAGCAAAAACTATATTATATTTTTCCTCCAATAAAAATTTAAATTTACTACTCATAACATTACTAAAAAAGCAAAAACTCACCAAACAAGCTCTATTTATCATACACTTGAAACAAATAGCAGACATTAAAACAAAGAGAAGAGAAGATACTGAGGAATATTGCGCCACTGTTCTCCGCCAGTTCAATGCCCTAAACAAAACAGGAGGCAATTCTTCACTTGTAATCTATACAACAAATTCGATCGGTGACCTAGGCTTGGGGTTATTGTCAACTGGAATATTGTAAAGTCTGCACCCAACATTTTACTGTTCGTTTATATTAGATTGTCGAACCCTAAATCTCTTTCTCTAATAGTATGTTTTAATTGAGTGAAATAAAAAAAGAAATGTTTTTCTAATTTATTTACTTATTTAAATTAAAATGATAAAAAGAAAATAGAAAAAAACATAATGAGAAGAATTCTGGATGCCCAAGCCATGAACGGGGGGGGACAATTCTCCCCTCCCTTCTCCTCTCGAAGTAACTGTGTCGATTAAATACAAATGTTTCGTCCAACTTTCAAACAATAAATCGGCCGGTTTTTCATACGCTAGTTTTTGGAGGTTGGTCAGTTCTTGATGTCCCACAAGCCATTTATGGAAATTTTGGATTAAGACAGATATGTCTGGACAAAGACTAGGGAATTATTTTATATTTATATGAATTTCCTTGTATAGTTTAACCCACGAAAACTTGGTCATGCGATGCAAAATCACTGCTGCTGCCCGCTGGGTGGCACAACATTGCCGCGCATCATCATGGATCATCATGGAGGACCATGGAACCACAAGTGTGCTGGCTGCATGGGTATAGGGCTCCGAAGCACAACGCCGACCATTGTTAAAGGGGCTCTTCTCTAGCTAGTGGCCAATGTGCTGAACGACATCACATTGCCAAGCATCGTCCCCGAAAAAGCCCCTCAACCACATCACTGACCCGCAACGGCCAAAAACCTTGAATAAAATGATGTTGCTGTTGGTGGGCTGGGCAGCTTTGGCCTGGCTGAGCATTGCTGAAGGATGACGAACCTAAACGGTTGCTTACTGGCTGGCTTGGGGTTGGTTGCCAAGCACATCACCAAGCGTGGTTGCTGGTGACGAAATGTCACTGGAGTGGACCGCTTCGCTAGGGATTTGCCAGCACATCGCCCAGCATGCATCATCGAAGGGTGACAAACCTTTGCCCCCAGAGATGACCGGTTGACCGGCGCCGGTGGCGCAGGCCGGTCCAGGCACTCAGCAGCAGTTGGCGACGAGGCTGCCAGGCAAGGCGGCCTGACGTGGCGTGACGTGGGGCTGGCTGGGCACCACGCTACAGGCCAACACCTCATCAGGCCATGAAACGTATGAAACGTTGCTGTGCTGTTGTTCTGTGCTGGGTGGCGTAGGGCTGGGCATCGCCCAAGTGTATGAACCTTGAAATCAACCTCGAAATCACACTGGGTCGCTTGGGGCTGCCCAGCGGCCTCGCCCTTGTTACTGTAGTACACACCACAAAGCATCTTTGCAGAGAAACTCGCAAGGAGGGGGGAGCGGGGGGCAGGGAAGTGTCCTGTTCTGTTCTGCTGGGGGGTGGCTTCACTGCGCGCATGTGCTTGCCTTGCCGCACCAACGCTTAGTTACTGCACCAACAACGCAGGTGCATTTGCGACCATATGTGCGCCGCGCGGCAACAACACCAACGCTTCACAAGCACGGGGCAGTTCCACTCTTGGGGGAAGCGTAGGGTGTGAGCTGACCCGCAAACATCACCACCCCCGCCCCCCCTCGGCTCCCCCAGGCCATGCCGAACCAACACTTCATGGGCGAGAGGGGCAGTTCCACCGTTGACCCGCGCACATCACTATGGCAGGCAGGCAGGCAGGCAGGCGTATGGTCATCGCACCAACCCATCAACACATCGCAGCAGCAATTCCGGGGCAACAAGGCCGAAACTCGAAAAAAGGGGAATTGTTCTATTCTTCTGCTCACTAAGTGGGTGGATGATTGGATGGGTGGGCAGCCAGGTAGGTGGCTTAGGGCGTCAGCATTGCCTTAGCCTTAGCCGTGGATGCGGGCTTGGATGTGGGTCGTGGGTCGTTGGCCAT